TGTAATGGCCCTTAAAAACAGTGGTGTTTGGACCCAAGGAATTGGGGTCTTTTGCCTCCAACCTAGATCTCCCCTTTGTGCAGTGCCAGTCTCCCTAGCAAGGCCCCTTCCCCAACGATAGCCTCGTTCCTCTCTGCTGTTCTTATCCATAACCTGTAGTTTAACTCTCCTCTCAATTGTATTTAGATCTTAAATTGTTCTTACATGATACTTTTGTATGTACATGTGAATCTTACCTTACACTTTTATGATCTTTGTGTGTTTTTTTTTTAAAAAGTCAAAAAATCAAACAGACTGTTAGGAATCATTTAAAAAAAGGGATAGAGAATACGACATTATCTTTTTGCTTCTGTATAAACCCATGATGTACCCACATCCAGGATACTGTGTACAGATGTGATTGCCTCATCTTAAAAAAAGATATATTGGCATTGGAAAAGGTTCAGAAAAATGCAACAAAAATGATTAGGGTGTTTGAAATGGGTCCTCTGTGAAAAGAGATTAAAAAGACTTTTCAGCTTAGAAAAGAGGAAATTAAGGGGGGATATGATAGAAGTCTATAAAATCATGACTGGTGTGAAAAAAGTAAATAAGGAAAAGTTATTTACTTGTACCTATAATATAAGAACAAGGGGTCACCAAATGAAATTAATAAGTAGAAGGTTTAAAACAAACAAAAGGAAGTTTTTTTTTCATGCAGCACAGTCAACCTGTGGAACTCCTTGCTGGAGGATGTTGTGAAAACTAGGACTTTAAGGGTGTGTCTACGCAGCCCCCTTACTTCGAAAGAGCTTATTTCAAAATTTGGAGCTATACGTTTCAAAATAAAGTGCTATTCCAAAATATCCCTTAACACGTGATCAATGAGATTTACAGGGACGTTGGAATAGCGAGCCTGTTATAGTTTGATAAAACGGGCTTGCTCTTAAGATGCAGAATAGCTATTTTGGGATACCTCTGGTATCCCAAAATAGTTCTGCAGTGTAGATGTAGCCTAACAGGGTTAAAAAAAGCTAGATAAATTCGTGGAGGCTAGGTCTATCAATGGCTGTTAGCCAGGATGGGTAGGAATGGTGACCCTAGCTCCGTGGTCAGCAACCGGTCGATCGATTGCAAGGGCTCGACCAGTTGATCGCGAGACGTTTGGGCCCCCCATCCGATTTCCGCCCACCCCCAAGAAGCCCCACTACCTACCAGCAGCAACAGTGGAGGGTGCCAGCTTCCTGTGGAGTGGACAGAAGTCTGGCAGCTGCGCGCCACTTTTAGGGGTTCCAGAAGTGCGCTGGCTGCTCCCCTCCCCCTGGTCTGTGGTGTGGTGTGCCGGGAACTTGCGGGGAGTCTCCAGAGGAGGCGCACGCCAGGGCTTTAACCTCCTCTGTGGGGGGAGAGGGGGAGTCCTGGCAGGAGGCGGGTGTGGGGACTCCCTGCCCCTCCCAACACCCTGTCCCCTCCTGCCCCCCCCCCCCCCCCCCCCTCCCCTTTCTCCTCCCCCCCGCCCCCCC